TTTTCTTCGACAGGCTGTTGAGCCTGGTTTATGGTGGTTTCTTCCTCTAAGAATACACCCTGGTTACCCCTTATTTGCGCCCTTTGGGGCTGTCGAATAGGTTGGGGTACTCCAAAGAAATCAGCCAAACGCGTCATTTGCGCTGTCATCTGCTGATTCGATTGAGTAGTGTTTTGTATTAGAGGGTTTAGCACTGTACTTAAAGTTTGTGCCAACATTTGCACCATATCATGGTTGCTTTCGTCCATTTGTTGCCTCAAGACTGCTGTCGAGGCATTTGTAAGGCTATGGGCTACTTGGGACGTTCCTCCTAAGAGTTGGGTCCTATTTCTATTCGCCATGCCTACTCCAGAACCTTGGAGTGGCGAAGAGGCACTCACTAAAGGATCTGAAAAAGTGGACGTTGCATTCGTCAGGCTAGCCAATTCAGAAGTTGGCATGCCATAGAGTGGCATAAATCCTGGGGGAACAAAAGGCCTTGTGCCTACATTTCCCCTTGGTGGGGGAGTTCCCAAAGGCACTCTGGGGCCAGTGAACGAAAGTAATGGCCCCGTTGCTGTGATCGTCACTGCTGGTGTCGAACCAACAGTTGTCGCTTCACTTACGGTCGGGATAACCGCTGCTCCCACATTTGTTAGTGGGATTTCGTTATTGTTTGGCGGATTCGCCATTTCTTCTCTTCCCCTGGCAGTATTGTTATCGCTAGTGTATACTCTACCACTCCTCAATAACATACAACGCTCCTCGAAAAGATGAGAAGATGAGATTCTTTTCAGAAATCAACACACAGTCCCACCAGGTGTGCCAATTTGTTTACCTTGGTTTTTGGTAAACAACCGCTGATCTTCCAAATGGTTACTTATTTGGTTACTCGCAGGATCGATCAGATTGATCCTAGGACATAGGTTGATTTTTGAAGTTTGATTAAATTGGATAAGGCTTTAAATAAAGAGGCTTAAAATAAGATAAAAAGGTTTCAAGTAAATTGCATGAAGGAAAGACTTGGTAAAATAAACAAGGCTTAAAGTAAAAGGGTCGACAAGAAATTAAAGGAGAAAGTAAGTAAATTTCTGGAAAAGTAAATGACTTTGAATTGATAAAGTTGGTGTTTCACACATACATTTCTCAACAATTCTTTCTCACACGCTGGGTACTTGAATCTAAATGAGTGACTATGTATAGAATTGTGAACACACGCGAGAAACTACATGTCTACTACTATTTATACTAAAACATCCCAAGTAACCGTCTGGCAGTTACACTGCTTCGAGATCAATCCACTTGGCACGTTCTCCACGTTCGACGCTCCAGATCTTTGCACGTTTGCACATGGTAACTGCTGGAAACCGTTTTCCCTCCAAAAGCTTGAATTTCAAACTGCTCCACTCTGAACCATCGAACACTTTCGTCAAGAGACATCTTCGACGAGAAACTCCTTCGACGTCGAAGGCAAACAGCCTTCTTCCTTGGAAGAAATCTTCTAAGTACTTTGCCATCTTTCGACGGCATTTCGACAGACTCAACCAGTCGAAAGCATCTTTCAGCTTTTGAGGGCTGACATCAACAAAACAAAGGTGTCGAATTTAGGAGCCAACAGAGACACTACTTATAGAGATTTCTAAGAAATTTTTCTTAATTAAATTCTTTTGAAAAGGGAATAAAATCTCTTATTTTAAATTTGTTTCTTTTTTTAAAAATAAAGTATAAAACAAAGATATTAATCATGTCAAAAAAGTAAATTAAAATATAAGAATAAAAATTCCTTAAACCATTTTACATACTCTAAAATATAAGAACAAAATATTAAAGCGTTTGAGCCGGCCAAAGGCCCTAATAACTTAGGCCCAATTTATCTAAAATATACTCTACTTGAACGAAGATATAAAGGTTGGTTCACACTAAAAAAAGGTACATTCTTTAATCTCTAGTTTTCATTATACTCATCTTGAATCTTGAATTGACTTGAGAATTTGAGTGCTAACCTTGGAGGTTCATCCTGCGCTGCTGTATCAGAGATCAACATCACTGACTCAAGATAATCCATTCACCAACTACATCCAAGTGGTTAAGTGAAGTACATTACACCATAACACATTATGCACCTAAGTGGTATTTTTTAGATTGCAACCCTTGCAAGTGGTTCTTTAAATAGAATCCTTGTGCAGAAGCTTTCAAACTAGATAAAATTATTTTTTGAAACCTAGCAATATCCCCCTCTCTTTCAAAGTATTTATTCGTATTATCTAACACTAAGATTAAAGACACTTTATTCGCGTGGACTGAGTAGAGGCGTTGGTCTTCGTTCATCGCTTGTGAACATTCATTCAATTTTGCATTAAATGTTTTGATCGCCACATTATGCAATTGTTTCTATAATGATTTATGCTCATTCATTAGAATAGACTAAATGGAAATAATTGTTTTTTGGTACATATTATAACACGAGTTCTCTTCAAAGTTGACATGCCCTAAGATATCATATGATCCGGAAAAGTGATAGAAGAAAGACTATCATAAGAAAAAATGGATTATACTTTGTAGCTATCTATATGTTCAACTCAAGTGATACATTATTTGCATGTACAACCATATCAAAGCAACGAACTAGAAACAACTTCACTTCCAAGAACTGCCCGCATCTGAACAAATTCTTAACTATGTAAAAGATTCTTTACAAGAAAGATCAACCATATATACATTATCGTTAAATAATTATGTTTTTGTTTGCTTGCAATAGTTTTTTTGTGGCACAAATAGTAAACTCATTTAAATGAGTGTTTTGTTTATTGATATGGATATAATATCTTTCATGTAAGGCTATTATTATTTCAGTTTTGACTTATTACTGTTAATGTTAACTTTGGTCATATTCTTTTTTCTTTTTCTTAACGCTTTTGATATTATTTAAAGTTTGGTTAATATTTGTTAATAAATTAAAGCAAATAATATAATAAAATAGAGAAAAGAAATAAAATATAACAATATTATCTAAAACTTAAATATAGTATTTTATTTTAAACTTATTTTAATGGCGTTTACAAATTGTTTAAGAAGCTGGTACTATTCTCCAGTACAACAACATTGATTTGCAATGCACTTGCCAACTTGAGAAATCTTCTTTTGTTGACAATAGTTGGTACAATCTGGATCATTATTTGGACATGGACCTTTACCAATGCAATAAGTCCATGAGGATTGTGAACCAATGGCTCCTCCTGTAATAAATAGCTTACTGTAAGATATTGTGTGACATAGAACTTATTAATTTATAAAGAAATTTTTAATTGGAGAACACATTATACTCTCTCTATCATATACAAGTTTTAAAATATAAGTAATTTTTAATTAAAAAGGAAACACTGTGAATTAACTAACGAAAAAAATGTAATTTAATAATTTGAATTTTGCAGCTTATCAATATGGTACCTGGAGACAAAAGATATGCAATGCATAGCATTACAATGATGAAATGCGCCCTGTTGATACCAATAGCCATCTTTTTTGTTTTTTACAATATGATAAAGAACATCTATGAGACACTACTTATAGAGATTTCTAAGAACTTTTTCTTAATTAAATTCTTTTGAAAAGGGAATAAAATCTCTTATTTTAAATTTGTTTCTTTTTTTAAAAATAAAGTATAAAACAAAGATATTAATCTTGTCAAAAAAAATAAATTAAAATATAAGAATAAAAATTCCTTAAACCATTTTACATACTCTAAAATATAAGAACAAAATATTAAAGTGTTTGAGCCGGCCAAAGGCCCTAATAACTTAGGCCCAATTCATCTAAAATATACTCTACTTGAACGAAGATATAAAGGTTGGTTCACACCAAAAAAAGGTACATTCTTTATTCTACAGTTTTCATTATACTCATCTTGAATTTTGAATTGACTTGAGAATTTGAGTGCTAACCTTGGAGGTTCATCCTGCGCTGCTGTATCAGAGATCAACATCACCAACTCATGATAATCCATTCACCAACTACATCCAAGTGGTTAAGTGAAGTACATTACACCATAACACATTGTGCACCTAAGTGGGCTTTTTTAGATTGCAACCCTCGCAAGTGGTTCTTTAAATAGAATCCTTGTGCAGAAGCTTTCAAACTAGATAAATTTCTTTTTTGAAACCTATCAATATCCCACCTCTCTTTCAAAGTATTCATTCATATTAGCTAACACTAAGATTAAAGACACTTTATTCGCGTGGACTGAGTAGAGGCGTTGGTCTTTGTTCATCGCTTATGAACATTCATTCGATTTTGCATTAAATGTTTTGATCGCCACATTATGTAATTGTTTCTATATTGATTTATGCTCATTCATTAGAATAGACTAAATGGAAATAATTATTTTTTGGTGCATATTATAACGCGAGTTCTCTTCAAAGTTGACATGCCCTAAGATATCATATGATCCGGAAAAGTGATAGAAGAAAGATTATCATAAGAGAAAATGGATTATACTTTGTAGCTATCTATATGTTCAACTCAAGCGATACATTATTTGCATGTACAACCATATCAAAGCAACGAACTAGAAACAACTTCACTTCCAAGAACTGCCCGCATCTAAACAAATTCTTAACTATGTAAAAGATTCTTTACAAGAAAGATCAACCATATATACATTATCGTTAAATAATTATGTTTTTGTTTGCTTGCAATAGTTTTTTTGTGGCACAAATAGTAAACTCATTTAAATGAGTGTTTTGTTTTATTGATATGGATATAATATCTTTCATGTAAGGCTATTATTATTTCAGTTTTGACTTATTACTGTTAATGTTAACTTTGGTCATATTCTTTTTTCTTTTTCTTAACGCTTTTGATATTATTTAAAGTTTGGTTAATATTTGTTAATAAATTAAAGCAAATAATTGAATAAAATAGAGAAAAGAAATAAAATATAACAATATTATCTAAAACTTAAATATAGTATTTTATTTTAAATTTATTTTAATGGCGTTTACAAATTATTTAAGAAGATGGTACTATTCTCCAGTACAACAACATTGATTTGCAATGCACTTGCCAACTTGAGAAATCTTCTTTTGTTGACAATAGTTGGTACAGGCTGGATCATTATTTGGACATGGACCTTGTCCAATGCAATAAGTCCATGAGGATTGTGAACCAATGACTCCTCCTATAATAAATAGCTTACTGTAAGATTTTGTGTGACACAGAACTTATTAATTTATAATGTAATTTTAAATTGGAGAACATATTATACACTCTCTATCATATAAAAGTTTTAAAATATAATTAATTGTTAAATAAAAAGGAAACATTATGAATTAAATCAACGAAAAAAATGTAATATAATAATTTGAGTTTTGCAGCTTATAAATATGGTACCGCGAGACAAAACAGATGCAATACATAGCATTGCAATGACGAAATGCACTCTGTTGATACCAATAGCCATCTTTTCTATTTTTTACAATATGATAAAGAACATCTATGAGACATTACTTATGGAGATTTCTAAGAAGTTTTTCTTAACTTAATTCTTTTAAAAAGGAAATAAAATCTCTTATTTTAAATTTATTTCTTTATTTAAAAAAAGAATAAAACAATGATATTAAACTGCTCAAAAAAATAAATTAAAATATAAGAATAAAAATTCCTTAAACCATTTAAAAACTACATTTAATATAAATAGTGTTTATGATTGAAAAAAAAGCTACATACTCTAAAATATAAGAAACAAAATTTAAAGTGTTTGGGCCAGTCAAAGGCCCAAATAACTCAGGCCCAATTCATCTAAAATATACTCTACTTGACCGACGAAATTAAGGTTGGTTCACAAGAAAAACAAAGTACATTCTCTAATCTCCAATTTTCATTATACTCGCCTTGAATCTTGAACTGACTTGAGAATTTGAGTGCTAACCTAGTAGGTCCATCCCGCGTTGCCGCATCGGAGATCAACATCAATGACTCAAGATAATCTATTCACCAACTACATCCAAGTGGTTAAGTGAAGTACATTACACCATAACGTATTGTGCACCTAAGTGGGCTTTTTTAGATTGCAACCCACACAAGTGAATCTATAAATAGAATCCTTGTGTAGAAGCAATTCAAACTAGAATAAATTCTTTTTTGAAACATAGCAATATCCTCCTCTCTTTCAAAGTATTCATTCATATTAGCTGGCACTGAGATTAATGACACTTTACTTTCTTGGACTGAGTAAAGGCATTGTTTTGTAATAGTTTATTCGATTCTGCATTAAAGGTTTTGATCGCTACAACACGTAATTGTTTATATAATGATTCATGCTTATTCATCAGGATCGACTAAATGGAAATAATTGTTTTCTTGTGCATATTATAACACATTTTCTCTTCAAAGTTGACATGCCCTAAGATATGATATGATCCGGGAAAGTGATAGAAGAAAGACATTAATAAGAGAAAACAAATTATACTTTGACACCTGTCTATTTGTTCAACTCAAGCGTTATAGTATTTGCATGTACAATTATATCGAAGCAACGAACCACAAACAACTTCGCTTCCAGGAGCTTCCCGCATCTAAACAACTTCTTAACTATGTGAACGATTCTTTACAAGAAAGATCAACCATATATACATTGCCATTAAATTAGTATTTTATTGTTTGCTTGCAATAGATTTTATGTGGCACAAATAGTGAATCTATTTAAATGAGTGTTTTGTATTGTTGATATGGATATAATAACTTTCATGTAAGGCTATTATTATTTCAGCTTTGACTTATTATTGTTAACAATAGTTGGTACAATCTGGATCATTATTTTACAATAAATCCATAATGATTATGAATCATGGCTCCTCCTGGAATAAATAGATCAATGTAAGATATTGTGTGCATATATAATTTATTAATTTATAAAGTAAATTTAAATTGGAGAGCATATTATACTTTCTCTATCATTTATAAGTTTTAAAAATGTAATTAATTGTTATATGAAAAGGAAACACTATGAATTAACTGATAAGTGCCAAAATGTCGATATTTTGTGTATGTAATTCGTGGAACTTATCGATTCATTTGTATTGTATTCTTTAATAATCCCCTGCTTTGTGTATAAATATGTATAAATTGTGTTTAATCGAGTTTTCGTGTATAGAATGTATCGTTTGATAGTTTTTATGTCTTTTTTGTAGGTAAGTACATATTTAAAGCATGAGAAATAAAGTGTCGAAGGAATGACTTTAAATACGCGATTTTGGAGGTAAATAAGGTTTTGAGTGCGTGCTTAGCATGCTCTTTGCATGCTTAGTGTTGCAACTGGATTTAAAATCAGAGTCGCCACTACTAGTTTTTATCCTAAGGAAGGGAATTACAGAAATTCTAAATTTCAGACTTCTTTAGAAGAAAGGAAGGTGTTAGACATATTTCATCTACCTTATTCATAAGGATACTAGGTTTAAGTTTAGGTAAATAGGGTTTTAATTTTTTAATAGGGGAACTCGCCATGATTTTTGATCGTATGCCTACGTATCCTCTTATAAGGAATCAGAGTCCTTCGTAGTTCGTATTTGGTTGGTGTTTTCTATATGGCTTCTTAGAATTGCTTTCAAATTATCCTTGAACTTTGTAGACGCAGTTCACAGTTAAACTTGAAATTAATTTTCCTTAACCCTTTTTCGAAAATATCTTATAGTTTTTGTTAGGTTAGTGGAAAAATGGTTTATTGTTGGTTAGTTGTTTTGATGTTTTGATTTGATTAAAGAGTGTGATGAGACATTGAGCGGAGGAGTCTGATATGGTCTCCTCCTCACGTGGTCAGATATTGATCACGTGTTACTCGTCATGAAGGATGCGGAGGAAGTCTGATATAGTCTTCCTCACCACGTGGCCAAATATTAGCCACATGTCGCACATTGGTGAATTGCGTGATTTTTTAATTGTTTGATTTAGTATAATAAACCAGTAAACGATGTGTCGACCGATTTAAATACTCAAAGATGAACATCCTATAATTCGCGAAAATATTAAATTAATTTGATTAGAAAAAAATTGATTATGTACAAGTGCGACGAACTAAATGATTTAATCTAAAAAGTTGACCGGGTTAATTTAAGTTATATTACTAAATTATTCATTCCTATAAAAAAATAATATTAAGAAAATTAATTAACCTAATAAAAAAACTACCTAACCTAATTAAAATAAACTAGAATAAATGGACTAGGGGTGTTGAATTGGAGATGGGGTGTGAATTAGCAAAAAGATAGAAACTATGGCCCAAGAGCCCAAATCTAGTTATACCTAAGTCTAATCAATAATTGTTATTATTTAAAAGAAAGAAAAAAATGGGTCAATCAATAATTCGTTTGCCGTTGTGCTTTGAATGCAATGGAAGTTGCGGGGATGACGTCGTTGCAAGTAGAAAACCGTTTGGAGTTTCGATCTGCTTTCTCTATTTTCCTGCAGAGAGAAAAAAGAAGAGCAAAATTTTATACAAATTATATTGAATTATTAGCTGCGGTTTTAACATTTCCATTGCAGCTTGTTGTCGACATTGTTATAGATGTTGTGTGTCTTCTTCCTGCAAAACAAAAGAGTGTTGGAGTATATGGATGTTTTGGTTTGTGTTCAAAATATATTGGATAATTTCTTTAGATAAGTTTTATTTGTACAGGTGAGTGAAATTGAAGACTGTGTTTGGGTTTTTAACATAAAAGATTTAGATTTTGTTTTGTTAGTAAAAAGTGAAGAGTTAATGTGAAATTTAATAATAAAGGTGATGAAGGTTTGTACCAATGCTAGCAATAAAAGTTTAATAGATAGGTTTTAAATGTCAGAAAATTTTGATTAATAATTTGAAAGCTTGAAAAAAGGGTAGTGTAGAGTACCGAGAGAAATTGTTAAAAAAGGCGTGAGTCACTCTCTGTATGTAAAATTGATTTGTGAAAATTGAGAAGGAATAAGTGATTAAGAATTGTTAGTGTAAAAATAAAATCATTGCTTAAATATCATGTAGTTGAAAATAAGTTTAAGAAAACAAAGAAAAACACCATTAGTATTCGTTATGTGGTGTAAGAAACAAATAAATTTAAAAAAATCGAAAATTAAATGGCGTTGAGAATATCAGAGGACCCTCATATTTGAATTATCGGCCAAATCAACAAAAAGAATATCACCAATAAAATTTGAAAAGAATTTTAAAGAGAAAGTGTGTGTGTGTAAGATTGCAAAATTGTAGATCATTTATATTTCTGGATGATTGTTGCTACTGTGGAAATTGTGAATATTTTGGGATGTTTCAGGATAAAAAATTAGGACAATGCAGATACTTATTTATAGAGTGGAAATTAGGTTAAACCCCCAAAAAGAGAAACTATCCAATACCCAAAGCGTAAATTTATTTATAAAATATTTTGACTATTTTTTAAATAAAATAAATATTTTAATAAAAAATAGTATTTTTAAAATATAATTAATAAATAAATACAAAAATAATAATTTAATAATTAAAAATATGATTTTTTTAGAAAATGAAAATAAAGTTAGTAACAATAAACAACAAAAATATCCAACAAACCCATAACCTTTTGCTTGGAAGTCTTTCTCTCTTACCAACTGTGTTATGTTACTTATTCAAAAGTAAAAAGCCAATTGAAAGTATATGACAGCGAATAATTATTTGTTATTTTTACAAATAATTATTATATTTTCAAACAGACTTGAAAACGAATTTTTATTAAAAACCTCAGAATGTTAATATAATTAAATCAAATGAATTTATATCTGTAAAATTCAAGTTTGAAAATAAATTTGATGGTAGCACTAAGGCGGGCAAATTTGGGGTATGACACTTAGCGCGTCTTGGGAGTTGAAACATCAAATTTTGGCAGAGAGGAGGGTGCTCTACGCATTTGTAGCATGCTTAACATGCTATGATCGCGCTCAACACGCTTGTAGCATGGTCATCAGCAAAAGGCGATTTGGTCCAATAAGTGACAGCGCGCTTAGCACGGATTTTGGCGCTTAGCGCGGTCTGCGATTTTCAATTTGTATATAAATAGCTCGAAATAGATTTTTTAGGTTTTTTTTATCATCTCTCACTTCCATGGGGGAGCTCTGATCCAATTCTTTGTAGTTTATAGGTTTAGGCAACACCATTGAGTGTTACATCTTGTCGATTGATTATGGGTTGTCTCAGACCGTGTTGACACCGCGAGAAGTTTCCTATTCGTCTCCTTCTTTCCTATGTATCATTCCAATGGTGGGTTTTGTATGTATATCTTTAATCTTTTTGTATGTACATTTGTTGATCATGGAATTGTATGAAATCTCTTTTACGGATTAATATTGGTGTTTGTTCTTGGTTTTTGCTTTATCGCAGAGTTTTGGTTTATCGTAGACATATGCTTTCTGAATCTCTTTCTTGAATGAACATTTATTAGGTTCTAGATTATAGAAATATAT